GGTTCTCTCCCTCCTTTCTCCGTGTCTCTGTCTGGTGTCTGCTTGGCAGAACAAGTTTTTATAAGGAGTAGAACATGAACAAGGCGCCATGTTTAAGCTTCCAACGTTTCAGTGTTAATGCAGAAGGACCTAACGGCATGGTTTCAAGAGTCTGCTTATAACGATCCCTCCTGCTCCGTCTCCCATGAGACCTGTTTTCAGGCGGGCTAGGCTACCAGCCCAACAGATCTGCTTTTTGTCCAGTGTGGATGCTTGGCAGGGTTTTCTATACCCAGAAGCACAGTGTTCGGAATGACGCCCTGCCTCCCGACGTTCAGTTTTACTATACCCAGAACCAGTTTTCGGAATGACGCCCTGCCTCCCGACGTTCAGTTTTTCTATACCCAGAACCACAGTGTTAGGAATGACGCCCTGCCTCCCAACGTTCAGTCTTTCTAAACCCAGAACCACAGTGTTAGGAATGACGCCCTGCCTCCCGAACGTCAGTTTTTCTATACCCAGAACCACAGTGTTAGGAAATGACGCCCTCCAGCCTCCCGATGTTTAGTTTTTTTCCAAACAGAGTATAGAGAACCGATTTTAGCTAGTTTTGACTGACGCCGATACACTCTTCAAGTGTCGCATGCTAGAGCAGTGCTAGATAGAATGGTTGTCCTGACACTGTGAGCTGTGTCTGCATGATTTCACTTCTATACCAGTACGGTGACATCAAGGAGATTTAAGTCTGCCAAACGTGATGCTGACCTCTGACATTCTGGTGTTGATCTTTGTCTAATGGTAAACTGCAGAGATAGTGTAGTACTCATGATAAAGACATCTGTCGTCTATTGTAACTGCCAGAGATAGTGTAGTACTCATGATAAAGACATCTGTCGTCTATTGTAACTGCCAGAGATAGTGTAGTACTCATGATACCGGTATCTGTTGCCTGCTGTAACTGCCAGAGATAGTGTAGTACTTATGATACCGATATCTGTCGTCTATTGTAACTGCCAGAGATAGTGTAGTACTCATGATACCGACATCTGTCGTCTATTGTAACTGCCAGAGATAGTGTAGTACTCATGATACCGATATGTGTCGTCTATTGTAACTGCCAGAGATAGTGTAGTACTTATGATACCGACATGTGTCGTCTATTGTAACTGCCAGAGATAGTGTAGTACTCATAATACCGACATCTATCGTCTATTGTAACTGCCAGAGATAGTGTAGTACTCATGATACCGACATGTGTCGTCTATTGTAACTGCCAGAGATAGTGTAGTACTCATGATACCGATATCTGTCGTTTATTGTAACTGCCAGAGATAGTGTAGTACTCATGATACCGATATCTGTCGTCTTTGTAACTGCCGGAGATAGTGTAGTACTCATGATACCGATATCTGTCGTCTATTGTAACTGCCAGAGATAGTGTAGTACTCATGATACCGATATCTGTCGTGTATTGTAACTGCCAGAGATAGTGTAGTACTCATGATACCGATATCTATCGTTTATTGTAACTGCCGGAGATAGTGTAGTAGTACTCATGATACCGATATCTGTCTTCTATTGTAACTGCCAGAGATAGTGTAGTACTCATGATACCGATATCTGTCTTCTATTGTAACTGCCAGAGATAGTGTAGTACTCATGATACCGATATCTGTCGTGTATTGTAACTGCCAGAGATAGTGTAGTACTCATGATACCGACATGTGTCGTCTATTGTAACTGCCAGAGATAGTGTAGTACTCATGATACCGACATGTGTCGTCTATTGTAACTGCCAGAGATAGTGTAGTACTCATGATACCGATATGTGTCGTCTATTGTAACTGCCAGAGATAGTGTAGTACTCATAATACCGGTATCTGTCGTCTATTGTAACTGCCAGAGATAGTGTAGTACTCATGATAAAGACATCTGTCGTCTATTGTAACTGCCAGAGATAGTGTAATACTTATGATACCGATATCTGTCTTCTATTGTAACTGCCAGAGATAGTGTAGTACTTATGATACCGATATCTGTCTTCTATTGTAACTGCCAGAGATAGTGTAGTACTCATGATACCGACATGTGTCGTCTATTGTAACTGCCAGAGATAGTGTAGTACTTATGATACCGATATCTGTCGTCTATTGTAACTGCCAGAGATAGTGTAGTACTCATGATACCGATATCTGTCGTCTATTGTAACTGCCAGAGATAGTGTAGTACTCATGATACCGATATCTATCGTCTATTGTAACTGCCGGAGATAGTGTAGTAGTACTCATGATACCGATATCTGTCTTCTATTGTAACTGCCAGAGATAGTGTAGTACTCATGATACCGATATCTGTCGTCTATTGTAACTGCCGGAGATAGTGCTGTGCCTTAAAAACTAGAAAATATGACAAGCAGGACACTTCAGTCGATGCTCGACCCTAGATATCCTCAGCCAGCCTTGGTTAATAAACACACCATGCACTTTTATGAGCGCAGATCACTTCAAGAAATAAAAGAGTTCCCTAAGGTCAACACTTACCCCAGCCCATAATGTAGAAGATGACGTAGTTAGGTTTGCCAGAAAACACGGACACTGCGATCATCTTGTGCAAGTAGACACCTTCTATGAACATCCACATGAACTTGACGGTTTTAGTGTACTCCAGCAGAGAGTAGAGCACCTCACACACTACAGGCTGAAAGTAAGTACATCATTTCTCTCAGTCAATTAACAAAAACTAGAGCACCTCACACACTACAGGCTGAAAGTAAGTACATCATTTCTCTCAGTCAATTAACAAAAACTGGTGCACCTGACACACTGCTGGCTGAAAATAGGTACATCATTTCTCTGTCCATTAACAAAGACTAGAAAACATAGAGTACCCTGGATTATCAGAGTAACTAACAAGGATTGTTTGAAAGAAGATAATTAAAGTAGATCTCTATGTAAAGCAATAAGAAAGAGACAAACACTGTTTTTTGGCCACGTAATCAGGAGAGAGACATTAGAGAAAATCGTGACAACTGGAAAGATCTGTGGAAAAGGAGTAGAGGCAGACCGAGAGAGATGATGCTGGGTGGGCTGAAACAATGGCATGGAGGGATATCATCAAGAGAACTGTTCCAGGCAACCAGGGATCGTGATCTGTGGAGATGCATGAGTGCCTACGCCAGATGGCAGGGCTGATGATGCTAATGAGAGCAACTCACACACTATAGCCTAAAAGTAAGTCCATAATTTCGCTTAGGCAAAAAAAGAAAGACTAAAGCACCTCACACACTATAGCCTAAAAGTAAGTCCATAATTTCTACTGGCTGAAAGTAGGTAAGTCATTACTTTCAATGTGTTTATGTGTGTATGTGTGTGTGTGTGTGTGTGTCGAATAACCTGTCGTGGGTGGTGTGTAGGAGTGGGGGCAACTGACCATGTTTTAGATATGTGGAAGAGAACACTGAACGTGTCGTAGATTGTGTGTGTGTGTGGGGGGGGGGACGGGGGTAGAGGGCAGACTAGACCACTAACCGTGTCGTAGATTGTGTGTGTGTGTGTGTCTGTGTGTGAGGAAGAGGGCGGACTAGACCACTAACCGTGTCATTGATTGTGTGTGTGAGTGTGTGTATCTGTGTGTGAGGAAGAGAGCGGACTAGACCACTAACCGTGTCGTAGATTGTGTGTGTGTGTGTGTGTGTCTGTGTTTGAGGTAGAGGGTGGACTAGACCACTAACCGTGTCGTAGATTGTGTGTGTGTGTCTGTGTGGGGAAGAGGGCGGACTAGACCACTAACCGTGTCGTAGATTGTGTGTGTGTGTGTGTGTGTGTGTCTGTGTGTGGAATAGAGGGTGGACTAGACCACTAACCGTGTCGTAGATTGTGTGTGTGTGTGTCTGGGGGAGAGCAGACTAGACCACTAACCGTGTCGTAGATTGTGTGTGTGTGTGTCTGGGGGAGAGCAGACTAGACCACTAACCGTGTCGTAGATTGTGTGTGTGTGTGTCTGGGGGAGAGCAGACTAGACCACTAACCGTGTCCCCCGTAGAGGGCGGACTAGACCACTAACCGTGTCGTAGATTGTGTGTGTGTGTGTGTGTGTGTGTGTGTGTGTCTGTGTGGGATAGAGGGTGGACTAGACCACTAACCGTGTCGTAGATTGTGTATGGGGCAGAACGAACGAACGAACAAATGAACAAATTTTATTTTCGAAGGGTTAAATATTAGGCACGAAGGCCCGTCTGACATTCGGTCCTTGGGCGGGCTAGACCACTATTCTTGTCGTAGATTGTGTGTGTGTGGGTGGGTGGGGAGGAGGAGGGGCAGACTAGACCACTAACCGTGTCGTAAATAGTGTGTGTCTGGTGGAGGGCGGACTAGACCACTAACCGTGTCGTAGACTGTGTGTGTGTCTGGTGGAAGGCGGACTAGACCACTAACCGTGTCGTAGATTGTGTGTGTGTGTCTGGTGAAGGGCAGACTAGACCACTAACCGTGTCATAGATTGTGTGTGTCTGAGAGGTAGATGGCGGACTAGACCACTAACCGTGTCATAGATTGTGTGTGTCTGAGAGGTAGAGGGCGGACTAGACCACTAACCGTGTCGCAGATTGAGTGTGTCTAAGAGGTAGAGGGCGAACTAGACCACTAACCGTGTCGTAGATTGTTTGTGTGTGTGTGTGTGTGTGTGTGAGGTAGAGGACGGACTAGACCGCTAACCGTGTCGTAGATTGTGTGTGACAGAGGTAGAGGACGGACTAGACCACTAACCGTGTCATGGATTGTGTGTGAGAGAGGTAGAGGACGGACTAGACCACTAACCGTGTCGTAGATTGTGTGTGTCTGAGAGGTAGAGGGTGGACTAGACCACTAACCGTGTTGTAGATTGTGTGTGAGGTAGAGGGCGGACTAGACCACTAACCGTGTCATAGATTGTGTGTGAGAGAGGCAGAGGGCCGACTAGACCACTAACCGTGTCGAAGATTGTGTGTGAGGTAGAGGGCGGACTAGACCACTAACCGTGTCGTAGATTGCGTGTGAGAGAGATAGAGGGCGGACTAGACCACTAACCGTGTCATAGATTGTGTGTGTCTGAGAGGTAGAGGACGGACTAGACCACTAACCGTGTCGTAGATTGTGTGTGAGAGAGGTAGAGGACGGACTAGACCACTAACCGTGTCATGGATTGTGTGTGAGAGAGGTAGAGGACGGACTAGACCACTAACCGTGTCGTAGATTGTGTGTGAGAGAGGTAGAGGACGGACTATACCACTAACCGTGTCGTAGAATCTGTGTGAGAGAGGTAGAGGACGGACTAGACCACTAACCGTGTCGTAGATTGTGTGTGAGAGAGGTAGAGGACGGACTAGACCACTAACCTTGCCGTGGATTGTGACAGAGGTAGAGGACGGACTAGACCACTAATCGTGTCATGGATTGTGTGAGAGAGGTAGAGGACGGACTAGAGCACTAACCGTGTCGTAGATTGTGTGAGAGAGGTAGAGGACGGTCTAGACCACTAACCGTGTCGTAGATTGTGTGTGAGAGAGGTAGAGGACGGACTAGACCACTAACCGTGTCGTAGATTGTGTGAGAGAGGTAGAGGACGGTCTAGACCACTAACCGTGTCGTAGATTGTGTGTGAGAGAGGTAGAGGACGGACTAGACCACTAACCGTGTCGTAGATTGTGTGTGAGAGAGATGGAGGGCGGACTAGACCACTAACCGTGTCGTAGATTGTGTGTGAGATAGGTAGAGGACGGACTAGACCACTAACCGTGTCGTAGATTGTGTGTGAGAGAGATAGAGGGTGGACTAGACCACTAACCGTGTCGTAGATTGTGTGTGAGAGAGGTAGAGGACGGACTAGACCACTAACCGTGTCGTAGATTGTGTGTGAGAGAGGTATAGGACGGACTAGACCACTAACCGTGTCGTATATTGTGTGTGAGAGAGATAGAGGGCGGACTAGACCACTAACCGTGTCATAGATTGTGTGTGAGAGAGGTAGAGGACGGACTAGACCACTAACCGTGTCGTAGATTGTTTGTGAGAGAGGTAGAGGACTGACTAGACCACTAACCGTGTCATAGATTGTGTGTGAGAGAGGTAGAGGACGGACTAGACCACTAACCGTGTCGTAGATTGTTTGTGAGAGAGGTAGAGGACTGACTAGACCACTAACCGTGTCATAGATTGTGTGTGAGAGAGGTAGAGGACGGACTAGACCACTAACCGTGTCGTGGATTGTGTGTGAGAGAGATAGAGGGCGGACTAGACCACTGACAGTGTCGTAGATTGTGTGTGAGAGATATAGAGGGCGGACTAGACCACTGACAGTGTCGTAGATTGTGTGTGAGAGAGGTAGAGGACTGACTAGACCACTAACCGTGTCGTGGATTGTGTATGAGGTAGATGGCGGACTAGACCACTAACCGTGTCGTAGATTGTGTGTGAGGTAGATGGCGGACTAGACCACTAACCGTGTCTTAGATTGTGTGTGAGGTAGATGGCGGACTAGACCACTAACCGTGTCGTAGATTGTGTGTGAGAGAGGCAGAGGGCGGACTAGACCACTAACCGTGTCGAAGATTGTGTGTGAGGTAGAGGACGGACTAGACCACTAACCGTGTCTTAGATTGTGTGTGAGGTAGATGGCAGACTAGACCACTAACCGTGTCGTAGATTGTGTGTGAGGCAGATGGCAGACTAGACCACTAACCGTGTCGTAGATTGTGTGTGAGGTAGATGGCGGACTAGACCACTAACCGTGTCGTAGATGGTGTTGCTGTCGCCACTGGAGGCCCCGTGCACTTGTCCCGTCTCCTTGGCGACCAGCTGGTCCACGTACATGATGATCCGCATGGCGATCTGCACAATCATGGCCACGAACAAGTTCTTGTGGATCCTCGTCCGGTGACACCTGAGACTTCTGGTCACAGACAGAGGCAGGAGAATGGTAGATGTCACAGACACAGGCAGGAGAATGGTAGATGTCACAGACACAGGCAGGAAAATGGTTGATGTCACAGACATAGGCAGGAGAATGGTAGATGTCACAGACACAGGCAGGAGAATGGTAGATGTCACAGACACAGGCAGGAGAATGGTAGATGTCACACACACTGGCAGAATGGTAGATGTCACAGACACAAGCAGAATAGTAGATGTCACAGACACAGGCAGAATAGTAGATGTCACAGACACAGGCAGGATAATGGTAGATGTCACAGACACAAGCAGAATAGTAGATGTCACAGACACAGGCAGAATGGTAGATGTCACAGACACAGGCAAAATTGTTGACGTCAAAGACAGGATAATCTTAGATGTCGTAGACAGGAGAATAGTAGGTGTCACAGACATAGACAGGAGAATGGTAGATGTCACAGACATGAGAATGGTAGATGTTACAGACATAGGCAGAAGAATGGTAAATGTCACAGAAGAAAAATGGTAGATGCCATAAATGGGAGAACGGCATTTGTCACAGACAGTAGAGTGTTACATTGCACAGACATAGACAGGAGAATGGTAGATGTCACAGACACAAGAATGGTAGATGTCACAGACAGGAGAATGGCAGATGTCACAGACACAGACAGATGACTAACTGATGTCACAAACATGGACAACGGATTGACAGACGTCATATACATAGATAGGAGACTAACAGATGTCACATACATAGATAGGAGACTAACAAAAGTTACATTCAAAGACGGGAGACTGACAAACATCACATACAAAGACATGAAACATGCATAACCCGGAGACAAACAAACATCACATACATAGACAGAACACACAAAAAACATCACATACAAAGACATGAAACATGCATAACCCGGAGACAAACAAACATCACATACATAGACAGGACACACAAAAAACATCACATACAGATGTCACATACATAGGAGAATGACAAGTCATATACATAAACAGGAGACTAACTAACATCGAGACTAACTTAACAGGAGACTAACTTAAACTGCGACTGGCCTAGCAAGCCGGCAGTGGATTTTTTATTGCTACGAAAATTAGAAAGGAGATAAATAAACGGATAGCCCCAAACGGAAAATGGACTGGAAACGTTAAAGGACGACGAGACAGAAAAACGACTTACATAGGCACATGGAACATATGTGGTATTGCCAACAAAGAGCCACAAATAGTGGATTTCATGAAAAGAAAAAATATACACGTCATGGGTCTTGCGGATACAAGAAAGAAAGGATATAATACAAAAGAAATACATGAAAATTATGTTTTATTATGGAGCGGAGTACCCACTAAAGATAGGGCAAAACATGGTGTCGGATTTATACTTCATCCCGAGACAGCAAAATTAATAACAGGAACAGAATTTATATCAGAAAGAATTATTTTAATCAAGTTGACAGAAGGAAGTAAAACTACAACGATTATTCAGATATATGCACCTTGCAATGATAGTTATTCTGAAGAAGAAAAAGAAGACTTTTACGAGAGACTTACGGACACCATCAACAATGTTAAAGAGAAAGAGGACATCATAGTAATGGGAGATTTTAATGGTAGGGTAGGTAAAAGAAGATCACCATGGGAGAGATACCTTGGCCCATTTAGCGACACAACCACAGATTGCAATAGAAATGGAGAACACCTGCTAAACTTGTGTGCTGAACAAGATCTCTACATTACCAACACATTCTACCAACATCGCCAAAGTCAGGTTAAAACGTGGTACAAGTGGAACAACTTAGATCAAGCGTCACAAATTGATTTTATACTAGTCAGACAACGGCAGAAGAGGAAGGTAAGAGACTCAAAAAGCTGTCCCAAATGCGGGACTGGATTCAGACCATCGCCCAGTAGTTATGAACATATGCAACTCAAGTAGAAACAGTCTACATAAACAGAAACGTGAAGAAATCATCAACACTAAGAAATTAGAGGAAGAGAATATCAAACATGAATTTGAACTAGAAATAACAAAGGCTTTTGCAGATATTGCCAAGGAACCAGTAGGAATTGAAGAAGAATGGGATTATTATAAATCAACCATCACGAAGATATTAAAAGACAAGTGTGGTACCAGAAAGACGGGCAAAGGCAAGAAAAAGGGTACCGCTTGGTGGAATGAAGAAGTCAAAGAAGCAGTGTCAAATAAAAAGAAGATGTTTCAAATATGGTTAAAAACAAAAGACGAAAAGGATTACATTAGGTACAGACTAACTCGAAGAGACACCAAGAGAACAATAAAGAAATCCAAAGAGGAATCATGGAAAAAGTATGGTGAACACCTAACACAGCTATGTACAGAATCATCAAGAGACTTTTATAAGAGTGTGAAAGCGATGCGATTAAGAGAAGAAAGCTTCAATCCAACATCAGTCATAAATGATAAAAATGGAAAACCATTATTCAGCCAAAAAGAAATTTAAAAAAAGATAGGAGGAATATTTTAAAGAACTTTTGAACCCGTCGGGAATACATGAAACAGCAGAATTCCATTCAAGGGCTCCAGATCATCTAGAACCACACATCCTGCGGGATGAAGTAGAGAAAGTTATCAAAACAAGTAAAAGACACAAAGCAGCTGGTATCGACGGAATAACAACAGAAGTCATCCAGGCTGGAGGGGACACTATGATCACCTGGCTGGAGAGAATTTTCAATAGAGCATGGGCAGAGAGAAAGGTACCAGTGGATTGGCAAAGATCAGTTGTAGTACCTATCTGGAAGAAAAAAGGAAACAAGAGAGAATGTGGAACTTATAGAGGAATATCTTTACTAAGTCATGTGGGGAAATGTATGCAAAGATCTTAGAAGGTAGGATAAGAGCAAAGGTTGAACCTCTACTGAGTAAAGCACAATTCGGTTTCAGAAAAGGGCGAGGTTGCACTGATGCCATATTTGCACTAACACAAGTCTGTGAAAAGACACTCGAATACGATAAAGAGCTGAACGTGGTCTTTGTAGATCAAGAGAAGGCATTCGACCGTGTAGACAGAGATGTGCTGTGGAGAATTCTTGACGATTACGGAGTGCAGGGTCAATTATTAGACAACATCAGAGCCCTCTATGAAAAAAGTGAAAGTGCAGTAAGAACATCTAGTGGTCTTTCTGAATGGTTCAAAGTCACAACTGGTGTCAGACAAGGATGTGTACTGTCACCATTACTTTTCATAACATACATGGATAAGATCACTGTAGAAGCAAACCCAGACGTGTATGCTATAAACGAATTACTTTTTGCTGATGATCAAAGCATACTGTATCAAAATGAATATGATCTACAGGAACATCTGACTACTCTCAATAACAGCTGTTTACAACATAATATGAGAATCAGTACAGAAAAAAACAGAAGTTATGAAGATCAGCAGAACACACAGGCCACTGAATATAAATGTTGGAAGTGCCAAAATCAAGCAAACCAAAGAGTTCAAATACTTGGGCAGTATATTTACAGAGGATGGAAGAATGGACAGAGAGATAGAAACAAGAATACAGAAAGCAAATGCTGTCACATACCAACTATCACCTCTGCTTAAACATCCAGATATAACCATGAAGACCAAAAGACAATTGATAAACACCATCTTCATTCCAACACTCTGCTACCAGTGCCAGACATGGACAATCAACAAGACCCACGAAAGAAAAATAGAAGCCTGTGAAATGAAATGTCTAAGAAAAGCAGCGAATAAGACCAGACTAGACAGGATAAAGAATATAGACATTAGAAACACTGTCAAAACTACACCATGTTTAGACTACATAGAACATCAAAGAATGAAATGGTTTGGACATCTAACCAGGATGAAAAATGATCAAATAACATCACAAATTTTCAACCAAAGAAGCTCAGGATATAAGGCAAGAGGAAGACCAAGGAAACGGTGGATTGACGGGGTCTCCGAAACCTGCCAAAAGCATGGCCTCAGAACATCAGATGCTGCCCGCCTTGCTTACGACAGGAACTTGCATCTCCCCACAACGCTTAGCGGCATACGTAAAGTAAAGTAAGTAACTAACATCACATACATAGACAGGAGACTGACAGATATCATATACATAGACACGAGAATGACATAAGTCATTTACATAAACAGGAGACTAACAAACATTACATACATAGACATGAGAATGACAGATGTCACATAACAGACAGGAGACCGCAAGATGTCACATAATAGACAGGAGACTGACAGATGTCACATAATAGACAGGAGACTGACAGATGTCACATAAAAGAAAGACGACTGGCAGATGTCAAATACATAGATAAGAGACAGACGGGTGTCACATGCATAGACAGGTGACTAACAAACATCACATACATAGACAGAAGACTGACTTATGTCACATACATAGACAGGAGACTAACAAATGTCACATACATAGATAGGAGACTGATAGATGTCTCATACATAGACAGGAGACTGACAGATGTCACATACATAAGCAGGAGACTGACAGATGTCATGTACATAGACAAGATACTAACATATGTCACATTCATATACAGGAGACAAACACACATCACATATATAGGACACTGACAGATATCACTTACATAGACAGGAGACTGTCAGATGTAACATACATAGACAGGAGACTGACAAATGTCACATACATAGACATGAAACTAAGTGATATCACATGCATAGGCACCTGCCTACACACACTTACACACACACACAAACACACACACACACACACACACACATATGCACACACACATGGACAAGATACTGGCAGATGTCACTGCAGTTGGTCGACGTGGTCCAGTAACTGACTGTAGCCCATGTCTATTTGTAACCAATGTTTTTCTGTAGCTCATGTCTATAGTCCATGTATGTAGTCTATGTGTGTAGTCCATGTCTGTAGTCCATGTATGTAGTCTATGTGTGTAGTCCATGTCTGTAGTCCATGTCTGTA